TAATTTTTCGTCTCCTATCTTTATATTCGCTCTTTCCCTACTTTTTCTTCCCTTGCATACCAGTATTTTAGTTTTACTTTTATGTATTTTCATACAGTACTGATCTGTCAGTACCGCTTCCATTTTATTTAAAGCTATCTCTAACTCCTCCTTGCTAGATGCTAATACTGTTATATCATCTGCAAATCTAAGCATACTAGTTCTTATTTTATTCGATTACGTCGTGTATATTTGGGGAACATAAATAAGGACATCCTCTGACCCACACTCGTCGAAAATATCGCGAAACATCGTCGTCGGGCTTAGCCTTGACCTTGCGAAATCACAATCCCATTATTCTTCGCGTAATCGCCCGACACCATTGGAGAGCCCCGAGAGCTCGTCTACGTCAACTCCATAACCGCAAGCTTTACAAACCAACACGTGTACCATCAAATAAATTAAGTTTTATGGGGCAATTTTGCACCAGCACAGCGCAGCTACTAAATCATTGCCTTTACTCCAGGAGACCCGTGGATGCAACTGTACCAGCCCTTACGGACTCCTATGTGGACACCAATTTAACATTAGAGTAAAAAAACTGCATCCATTTAGCCTGATAATACTCTAGTCACTTTAAAAATGCTAAATAAAATTAATTTACTTGAGGGAATTTTAAAACAAAAAAATGTTGTACGTAATATCGAACTTTTCTGTTCATTAAAGAGAATTACATGGTATTAATGAATAGTTTACTGAAAGAGTGGCCAATTTATATTCAGCAGTTTTTATTTGATAAATATTAACATAAATACAATGAAATTCCAATTATTGTTTTTCCTTGGATATATTTAATAGTATTTATGAAAATTTTCATTCCGATTACGAAAAATGTGTTAGTAACAAAATGATTTAGTTAAAACAGTTTCTAAAGGTACATTTTAATTATACATATTTGTTATCAGAAACATCTTTTCCTCATGTGTAAATCATGTTCATTATCGTCAAAATGTCAAATGAAGGTCCCCAGCCAATATAACGTTAAAAGCTCAGTAAATAAAAGAAGCAGTTGTTTGTTAAAGATGGCATACTTACATAATTTGTTGCAAATTAACTAAAGAGAATAAAATAATGCAAATTGTGTGTATCTGCCTTCAAAGAAATATAACAATTGATTTCTATTTCCATGTTTCTTATTTTAAACTCCCAAAAAAATTGAAGCATTGATCTTTTGTTTGTAAAAAATTTGTTTTGATGTTTTGATTATATTGTTTGATGATTTCTATACTTTATATTAAACTTAAAAATCTGAATGTAATAAGTATCCAGGAGAAATGTGAGGTAAATATCTGATTTTATTCTTTTTTCTTTTTCAGGTAAGATCCACTTTTCCGGTGACTTATTGATTTTCTGTCCTCTTAAATCCTACTCGTTTAGGCCTAACAAAAGGTATTGTAGCTTTTATTTCCATTTTGTCGAAACGAAATTTTAATGGTTATGTTTTCACAGATTATATAATAAATGTCATATAAAAAAAGGGTGATTTTTATTGTTAAATCGGTGAATTGATGGTAATTATCATTTCTTTTTCACTGCCATTTTTCGATGGAAAATTAGAAAATTTGACAGCGAAATGATTTAAAATAGAAATGCCGCCATTAAACGATTCATACTGCTCATCGTTCTGTGACAGTTTCATTAACTATTGTTAAACAATAAATAAATTTAGAGGGCTTGTACGGGCAGCGGAAAGACAATTATTTAGTGTAATTTTTCCATTAAATTCCCGGTTAATTCTATAAATACTCGTCGCTTTATTAATCAATAAATGGCGGCAATATCGCGTCACGAGACCATAAATTACAGCTTGTGCATATACGCAAGGTACGTGTGTGTATGTTTTGGTTTGTTTGCGAAAACTGCGTGCATGCATTCGGAACTTTATTAGAATGAGTCGAAATTTATTACGCGGCCGTATATATCTGTGTATGCATTATAAATACATTTAAACAAAACAGCATGAGTAATTCTGACGGGGGCAGTTTTCCCTGTTCATTTATTTTGACAAACTCGTCCAATTTTGCAGCTCGTTCTGCGAAATTAAACTGTTTGCCGTAATGTAATTAGGCCATTCAGGACCAGCAATAACGTGAATCTTGTCCATTAACCGCGCTTAATATTACGCGTTTGCATGAATTTGACGCTTTTGATTTGTTTGGATAATACTATTAATCACCTAAACACTCGACGATACAAAAAAATAAACATTTTTTTAAAAATTATCTCTTTAACCCACCGAAACATTACGAGTTGTGGATTAATAACATGCTAAGAAGAACATATGTTCGGATGGGGTTAGTTTTGTAAGGGCCCGTATCAGGCAATATCCTGCTGTTAACTACAGTAGAGCCTTGATAACTTAAACCTCGATAACGTAACAACCTCTATAAATTCATAAAATTTTGCATTTATTCAAATAGATTCACCACTTTTACGATTAGTGTTAATTCATAATAATCCTTTTCGCACGAACAAAATTGAACAAGAACTGAAAGCTTCGAGTTCTTAACAAGGTTTAGGCTAATGGTTCAGCCTGGCACGCTAGAGAAATGAAAATCATCATTTTTCGTATACTTTTTATTTCTTTCTCACGAACGAAACAGAAAAAAAATCTGTAACTTTGTGGAATGCTTCAAAAATGCTTTTTAATAAAATAAATAGTTTTTTATTACCGCAAAACTTTTTTATCAATAAAAAAATTCTATACAATACGTAATTTTGATTGACCGTCCGTAAGAGAGAATGTTAAAAAAGCAAATTTTGAACTTCGATTTCTCGGAAACTACTTAGACAAAATCAGTTTCCNAAAATACGCATTTTTTATTTTGTATTTGCTTTTTAAATGCATGTATTTCAAAAAATCATATCAATGGTTAAGATACAATATTTCACCATTCTATTGAAGATTTCGAATCTATGCTAGGTACATTGGTTTGCTCTACAACAGAACAGATCTGAAAAAGAAGAAATGTAAATCATCATAGATATGTATACATACATCTGAAAGTGTATTTAGATAATGGTGTGTACCAAAACTTGAACGTTTAACTAGTATTTATTTAACACTTGTTCGTCGAGTTAAAGCAAAAAAAAAGATGAAGGACAGCATCAAGTTAGGCTCCCGTTTTATTAAAAGTTGTCAATTGTCCTCCCACGTCCGGACATAGTCCTTGGTCGTCGTTGAAAATAAAAGAGAACAGAAAGGAAATGATTCTCTTTCTCGTCTTTTCCCAGTTGAAGTGGAAGATCGTGCTCGCTGTCCGTCGTTATATTTAGTTGTCGTCATCCTCGTCTAACAGCAATCAGAAAACGTGCGCCGGTATAATTGGAGGTTGAAAACACTGGCAGTGAAGCTCGAGTTTGGGCTGACTGGTTGGCTGTGTTGGACGCCCGTGTGCAACTTCTTTTATGTACACACACTTAGCTGCAGAGTAAACATCGTCGAAAGTTTTCTCGTTTCGGCTGCTTTCTCATCGTTTTCCTCCTCCACCTCTTGCATGCTCTCTCGGTCCGAAATTACCTCATCGTTGCCTCGAGAAGGCAAATCTTCCCCCGCACATGTATATATATATATATATATGTGTGTGTGTAAGTACCGTCTGCTTGGTGTGTATTTGTTTGTATGTGTATGCACTTGTGAGGAGGGAGGATGCGCTCCATCAACATTTGTTATCCCTTACGGCTGCCTGGGACGCCCGTCTCCGCCCGCGATGGGGTCGACCAGGAAACCGCTTCTTGTGTGATTTAATTTTCTGCGAAACCGTTCGAGTTTCACTCAAAGTGGATTGATTTCATGTAAATGTAATCTTTAAAATCATTGAAAACCCAAGAGGTACTACTACACGATTTCTTTCCTCTTTGAAAAATGGAAAGTGACTTTTATGTTTTAAACTGACTATACGAGTAGTATTATCAAGTTGAAGGAAATTAGTTAGGTGTTGCAAAGATGTTCTTAAAGGTTTTTAGTGGTAGAGAAACGATGGATGAGGACATTTCTTAGAAATTGTGAATTACAGTAGAATCCGCTTATAATGACATCGAGGGGAAATGACAAACACGTCATACTAAGCGGGTTCCATACAAAACATGTTCTTAGAAAATAAACTACTTTCTATTTTGGTTAGTTATTTAGTTTAATAGAGAGAAAAACTACAAATTGTATATACTTATTAACAGAAAAAGAAAAAGAACGATGAATTGTAATATCAATATACATAAGAAGGGTCAGAAAAATGAGCGAAAATGTTATTATTAATCATTTGCGTCACTATAACCGAATATGATTTCTTGAGAATCAGTCATAATAAACGATATGTCATTTTAAACGTAGTCATTATATCCAAACTTTCCTATAGAGAATTTAATATGAAAACCAAACTTAACACTGCAATTACTTCATATTAAGTGGTTGGTCAATATAGGCGGAGTCATAATAAACGAATTCCACTGTAT